ATATAATATAATATAATAAATATTATTATTTAATTTATGTGCTGACACACAAAGATGTTATCAACTGACTTTTTCGTTTTAGATTCGTACACAGAAATTCCATGGTTGTAAATTGTTGCAATGCTTACATCAGCGTATGCATACCGGCGTACCCGAGATCAACGTCACTCTAGAATTGTAAGAGATTTATAATGAAATTCGACACTGTTTGCCTTATGCTACCTTGTCTACTCGCTTTTAGGATGGTCCATTCTGTTCATATTGTTTTTTACAAGCATTTAACAAGCTGGCTCTTATATGGGCATCTAGAAGATCCTTACAGGGAATTTTTTATACAAAAAATATCGGATTGCGAGAAAGTTTTGATGCATGAGGATGGGAAGAACAACATTGATGCACGTGAATCAATAAATGATAAAAAGATCGATGTTGATATGTGGGACTACAATGTACAGATGGACATGCTTCCATCTTACATCAAGCCATCATTGGCAAATAAAATCTTGACCATCGGTCAGACCGTCATTATGTTCGGAAATGATCCCCGACAGAAAAAAGGTAAAAAAATTGTAATTTTTAATTACCTAAAAAGGAAAGTATCTTGTTATAATTATTATATAAGCAAATAAGTGCAGCCATATGCAATAATTATGAAGAGCTAAATGTCTTTAGATTTCAGCATGATACCCAAAACAGAAAATTCCGTATGGGGCGACAAAGAGTACAAGTACTTTAGGAAACTTCAGAATCTCCAGGCAAAGTCAGTTTTCAACATTGTTGAGTTCGATCGCACGATCAATGAATTGAAACAATGCGTGACCGAACTTTTGTGGCATGTTGCCGTTGAAGAGGCGCAGCTGATGCAACAACTCAGGCTGGTAAAAGAGTTCTTCCTGATGGGACGCGGTGATCTTTTCTTAGAGTTAATCAAGCTCACGACGCACATTCTGAATAAGGCACCAACAAGTCATACATCCAGAGATATTAATCTTGCGTTTCAAATGGCACTGAGAAAGATACACCTAAACGATGAAAGCGCTATCGACAGTTTTAATTTCGTGGTGCCTGCGCTACCTTTTGAGAACGAGGATGCCAACACGGATATCACTGATCTCTTTGATAACGAAAAACAAGATCCTAATGGTGCATATTTGCATTGCAAAATTTTTCTAAAATATTCAAAGACAAGATGAACGAATTTTTTTTATTTTAGAGAAACGCGGATGGGGCATGATTACATTGAAATACAAGGTTGTCTGGCCGCTGCATCTGTTGTTTAATCCGGAAGCGTTAAACGATTACAATACATTGTTTCGCTTCCTGTTGAGAGTTAAAAAGACCCAGATAGAGTTGTGGAATCTCTGGAGTGAACACATGCATCACAAAGACTTGTAAATATATTTAATATTTATTATAAGAAATATTTTTGCTACCCAAAATTATTATAACAAAATGTATATTCGCAGTGACATCGGCGTGATCCAATTAAGAAATAATTTGATTTTTATCGTCGATAACTTGCAGTATTATTTACAAGTAGATGTGATGGAAAGTCAATATGCTATAATGGAAGCGAACATGAAGAACACACGAAATTTTGAAGATATACAAAAGGCACATTCGATGTTTCTGGCTAACGTTATGTCGCAAACTTTTTTGCTAGGCAGTGGAACAGGAAAAAAAAATCCCGTAAATTTCATTAGAATCATTTATAAAATTTAAAAATATTTTTTTATGCAAATTGTCGCAGGTTTGACGAATCGTCATTTCATACATCATTCTTTGATTGATTTTGAACTTTGTCATTGTTATCTTGGTATTCATGAATATTTTTAACAGGTGAACAAGCTGATACACCTTTTACTACGACTGTGCGATGATTTCATCTTACAAGCATCCATGTGGGAAGTTGGTAATTTGCTTTTAACGGAAAAAGAAGAACTCAAAACATTATGCGAAACACTTGATAGCGTAATGGATTGGTTGACGAAAACATTGAATAGAGTACGTGCGCAACCTAGTGGCGAACACTTGGCTCGGTTACTATTGAGATTAGATTTCAACAGATGGTTCAGTAAAAAGATTTGAAGGGATAAAAAGGATAAAATCATATAATGAAGAATTACATGTATATCGCTGCTAAAATGGAACACAATGTTAAGTTTTTCTTTTTCATAAAGATATTGTATAATTGGAATACAATTATTCAGTGAAGAATATGTAACAACAAGCAAAATAACATTATTATTATTACTTTCCATTATAGCTATTTATGTAAAACAATTTAAAAACTGAGTTTTAACTAATTTAAAAGGACATTTCACTCTGTTATTCTTTTTGCAAAAATCTTGTCATATATTTTAAGTCTATTTCAAGTCTATATTTCTTCAA